GGAAACAGTGGGAGAGCCTCCGGGGTACCTGCTCTCATTGGCATGAGGTCAGATCTCCATTTCAATGGGACCAGCTGCTGAGGTGCTTTGCAGCTTATGGGGTCAATGTAAACAGTTTTTAAAACTGTTTAGCAGGGAAGATAAAAACCGGGTGAATATTCCAGCTTCCCAAACCTGAGCACCTACCAGGACCGCTTTTACCTTTTGACACTGAAATGGACAGAAGAGTAAAACTGGACTGAATGGACTGGGAGTAAAACAACAGCTGATCGGCTGTTATCCTACAAACACAGCTCTAATCATGCTTTGCCATTCGAGTGAGACTTTCATCGGAAAAGGGCCCCAACTCACTTTACTAACTCCAACCCAGAACCTGCGTTCCCAGGACTGCGACCGACTTCCTCAAGGTTTGGGGTCATGGCAGCAGGGCAGCCAGGGCTGGATTCTCACTGGGTGCAAATCAGCATCGCTCCATTCACTCTGCAGCGTCTCCACGGGCTGCTGGACTCCAGTACATCTAGGTATAATGGGATCCTTTTCCCAAACACCAGGGCCCATCTTCATCAATGCTTCCTCCGCCCACGGCAGAGTGAGTGGCACTTTATTAGGTTTTAAGCTCCAAAGTGTCAGTTTCACTTCACTGGGATTTTGATGTTTAAATGGCTTTTAAACACCGTGTTTATGAAAGCTTCCCATTATCAAGCAGCGCTCGTGGGGCAGGGGGGCGGATTAACAAGAGCATTGGCAAGCAGCCCAAGGTGATCAAAAGATTGAGGAGTCAGGATTCCGAAATGTCAGAACTTAAAAAAAAAAAAAAAAAACCTACTGAATAAGTCCCAGTGCATCCCACTCAAATCAACAATAATTGAGGCCCCGGAAGCTGCTGATTAAAGGGACGGGGGCTGCAGAGCGACTGATAGCATTTGGGGTGGGGTACGGCTCTCTGATGGCATGTGCATGACAGTATGGTGGAGATATACACCCAGCAGGGCTGAGAAAGGCCTTGTTTGCACTGTGTGTCCCCCCAGATCCCCAGGTTTAGAAAGAGGGGAACAAAGTGGCGAGTACTCAGATACAATCCTGATCTGCCCCGAGCATGCTGCCATGACACAGAAGACATGGGCGTTGCCATACCAACGGACCTGCGCTCCAGCTCGCCCAGTATCTTGTCTCGGGCAGGAACCACCGGCAGATGCTTCACCGGAAGGTAGGAGCCACCTGGCATTGGGCAGATCCACCTTAGGTCTCCTGCTAATTCCTAGTAGCCAGAGATTGCCTTAAACCCTGAGGCTTGGGCTTTCATCGAGCCGCCCAAGTGTGGGGGACCATGAACCACGGTAGCTCTAGATATCTGTGCTGTCCAGATGGAAGTGTGGGGCTTTGGGGACTCTTGGGCCTTAGCAACACCTTGGAGCAAGGATGACCACGTGGCCAATGGCAGGGACTGAAATGGGGAGTATCTACAACGGGAGCTAAAGAACCAGGCGTCCCAGGCATGTCCCAGACTGGCCCCCCTGTGGATCAGGCCGAGAACACAACACACAGACCAGTTGGTTACACTGGCACCCGCAGTCTAAGGGCTTGAGGCCTTGTCTACATTGGGGGTCCAAGCACCAGTGTAACTGAGCTGATGCAAACCACTCATCGCATCAGTGTAAACTGGGATGTGCACCCTGGGGTGGAGAGATATCGGTGTAAAATGGAAGCAACACGTGGGAATTCAGGCCCTGGGGGGATCAGCAATTTGGTATGGCACTCCCCGATTTAGCCTTTCACCTCACAGCCTGGAATGCCCTGAAGATACCTCCCTGGCATATTCCTGGCTGCTACAGTTACCCTGCTAGCACCTGGAACCCCAGCACACTAAGAGATGGCCCTGCCCTGGAGAGCTTAGCCAGGACAGGGCTGGACAAAGGAAGGGGAGAAGGGGTGCAACACACAAGCAGAGCAATCGGGGGAGGGTTGGCAAATACCATGTTAGTTCCACCATCTTTCCTTTTTCGTGTCATTGTTTCTTTGCACTCCCCCGTCTGCCTGTATCCAGCTGGCATCTCTTGTCTTAGATGTAGGTTGCAAACCCCTTGGGTCGGGGGTTGCTTTTGCATTCTGTATTTGTACCACACCTAGCACAATGGGGTCCTGGCCCAGGGTCGGGGTTCCTAGATGCTACGGTGATACAAATAATCATGGTGAGGTTCTCTAGCATGGGCCTGTGTGTTCCTCCACATGCACACATTAAACAGGTCATGGGGTGAGAAGAGAAGCCAGGGTGTTAATAGGCATGACGGAGGAAGGCACATGAGACACTGAGGTGAGTGAGGACAGGAGATAGGAAGGCGAGTGGAGCGTAGAGGGCAAGGATTGTTCCCATTTATTATCTGGTTGGGGCCTACGGGGTGCTTGGAGCTGTAGCGAATTCCCGCTAGGGCCGGGCCAGACGAGTGCTGTGTTTATCCCTGTGCAGGGCAGACAAGAGCCATGAAGCCAGCAGTTTCCCATTTCACCAGGAAGCCTTGGGGGTCTTTGATCACAGAACTCCCGGCGACCTGGGACGCGGCCCAGCCAGAACGGTGACCAGCAGCCGTTGCCGGAGGCTGTTTGGCAGCAGTCTGGAAGGCTGCTCCGGGGCTCAGAGTGAAATGATACGGGGCGTATGGCCCTCACCGCAGCAAGCTGCCGTTCAGTGGCCACTTTTCAGCCGTCTCAGCAGAGAGACCAAGGACAGAATGGGCACGCAGGCTGACCAACCCTTCGGGAGGGCCCTCCAGAGCTAGGCTGGGGAAAGCTGGCCGGGGGGCGGGGGGGTGTGCTACTGAGTGTGCTCACTGGAGAGAGGCCCTTGTGTCCCCGGCTGTCAACCTAAGCTGCCTTCTAAGAGTACAGGGGTGCGGGGAGCAACACCCAAAGCCTTTGATCTCCACCATATTTTTCTTTACAGAGTCCCAATGTGCTGAGCCTATGAACTCGCCCGCTTGGGCTGACATTGGACTGTGCGTTTGCTTATTTCCCCCCATTAGAATAACAGGGAGAGAACAAGGGTGGGGGAATCTGCTTTTCTCCACCGCGTCCTTGCTCATTTCCATTTCTCCCGGTTGCTATGGGGACCAAGGATATTACCTTCAACAGACACCGTTTGTTTTTCTTTTTTTGGTGCGTCAAAAGCCTTTCCGATCCAGCCGGCACCTGTAGACCCCACCTCATTATGCAGCTGCCTCCGCGCTGCCAGGCCTAAAAGTTTCAATCATTTCAGCTCCATCCCTCTCTGTTGCTGGGCTCCCCGGCCTGCCGGAGCGGCCGTGATCCAGACCCCGGCACTCCAGGCTCTGAGCGGAAATCTACAACAACAAGAAAGTCAGAATTTCCAAGTGTGGGAGGAAAAAACCCTTTGAAATTGACACAAACTTCCCAGATGGGAAGGAGAGGGACGGTCCCTGCTGAATCAGAGAAACAGCCCCCTTTGAAACAAGGAGGGCTCCATTCTCCAGACGCCAAAACCCTCACACAAATTAATAAAATACAGTCCACAGCCTTTGATATTAATCAGAGCTGGGAATAATCCACCCTGAGGAGGGATCAGGGTAGGAGGCAGATTGAATCCGGATTAGAGCCGCCTCCTTCAGCTCAGATGTAGAAGGAGCTCTCAGCTCCTGTCCTTGTCACCTGGAGCTCGGCCAGCACGGGATGAAGCTCATGGGCCCGATTCTGAGCGCATACTGGGCTAAAATTGGGAGCATGTCCCTGGAACTGCGGGAAGCTCTACTGGTACACATGGCGTGAGAGTGAGAGCTGCTCCCTGCTGTACAAATGCAGCATTTGTCCCCCTCCCTCTGGCTGCAACTGTGCCTGTGTAATGGGACTAACTTCAACCCTGGAGTAAGTCGAGCCCACTGTATTGTATGAGTGGGGAAAACTGCCTGTCAAAATCTGTGAAGCCACCACCGTGTTCTCTTGGGACTCTCCACTGCTGTCAATGCCTCAGCTGAGACGAACGCTTCGTATGCAAACAGCGCTGGTTTTACTCCGATCTCGTCCTCTCTGCCCAATTGCTTCTTTCTTCACCCTCTCATCATGAGCCCAGACGGCGTGCATGCTAGGGCAGGGACTCTTTGATCGGTTTGCACAGCACCACGCACAACGAATCTCCACCCCTCAGTGGGCGCCTTTAGCTGCTACTGTAATACCCATCGTGTAAACACCCTGAGCACATGGCAAACCGTTTGCAGGTACCCAGAGGAGACTGTTCTCTGCCAAGACAGGCTGGCAAATCCATGCAGCAACCAGTGCCAGAGTCTGAAGCTCCTTTGGGTGACAGTCTGCTAGTCTCTTTCACCAGCAGCACCCAAACCTCTTTCTGCCACATTACTTCTGTCACAGACTGTCTCTGACCCATGGGCTTTAGTGGGTCTGATGCCGAATCGTTGTGAATGAGCATCAGCTCTCTGCATTAACAGCCAAACCCTCCTCCTCGCTCCCTCCAACTACCACAGTCAGCAATGGGGGGAAAGTGAGTAAGAACCTGAGTCTCTATCTCTCCGAACCTGCTCATCCCACAAGGTGCTGATCACCTCTTGGAGTTGATTAAGTTAATAGGAGCTGTGGCTGTTCAGCACTTCGCAGGATCAGAGCCCTTAGAGAGGAGATCGGTGAAGGCAATTTCCCGACCTTTATTGACATGCAAATCATCAGCACTAAAGGCAGCTCGCAGGATTAATATATTTCCAAATTGCCTGGCATGGAGTCACATTAGTCAAGTATATGTGGCAGTCAGTCCAAAATGTCTAGTTATTATACAGTCAGCAATTCTGTGCTAGTTTCAAGGGCAGCCCAGAACCAAATGCTCAGGGAAAGTCACTTGGGCGTTCATTCGGTTAAGGCCCGTTTGATGCAGAGTCCCCAGTGATCTAGTTTTCTGAGCCGCACGAAAGTGACGACAAACGCCGTAGTGAAAGGCTGGGCAAAAGCATTTGTCAAACCCAGACATTTCGGGGGAGCCGCGTACAATGTCTGAGAAACACCCACTTTCTGACCCTGGGAAGCTAGCAGAATTGGGGAGCTTCCTGGGCAAAGTGAGTTTTGAAATTTTAACATTTTTCACTTCAAAACAAATTCCTGAGTGCGAACAGGGTCTCTCGTTCAAACACAAGGTCCGGCTGTCAGGCAAAACACTGACATCTCAGTGGTGCTCCTCCCCACAACTTGCAGCTTGAAAGCTGCAAAGTTCCGTCTGTCAAGGTTTTGAATCAGATTAGACTTTTCATGCCCCTTTGGGTACATCTACACTGCAGTGTAAACCCAAGTCGGTGGGACCCAGGGTTGTGGACTCAGTGATTCCAAGCCTGAACTTGAGTGTCCACACTGCCTTGTAAGCCTGGGTTTACAACTGCAGGATCCAGCTCTCATGACCGTACTAACGCCTCCACACTGCACTAGGCAGACCCTGCGACGCAGGTCTGCAACCTGAGCTGTGCCGTGCCAACACTGCAGAATGCCAGGGCATGGGCCTGAGTCACAGCAGGACTTGGGCTCTGACCCACCCCCCTATCAGGATCCTAAAACCCAGGTTCCAAATGCTTGTTGACCTGAGTCCGATTGATTTGTGGGTGGATGGAAGAGGAGCTTGGGTTCCAACCTGAGTCAGAACCTGGGGTTAGTGTGCAGTGTAGACATACCCTTTGTGGCTTATTGCCTTTTGAGCACTTGCCAAACCAGCAACAGCCTGCAGCCAACCGGCAAACCGGGCTGACAGCAAGCGCAAGAAATAAAGGGAGTCTCTTCCACCCCACTTGGGACCTCCTGTTCCATTCTCTCAAGCTCTGCTGAATGGGATCTATCCTTAGACAGATGTTCCAGTGTGGCTTTGTCACTTGGGATCTGCTACATAAAACAAGCCCAACTTCCTGATGTTAAAATTGGAAGTCACTGAATGTTCTGTACATGTGTGCTGTGATTACACAGCATGCAGCTCCAGCACGGCTTTTGAAGTTCCCTTTTTGTTCATTTATTCCCAGTGTTACAAACCAATCTGCTACAAAACCTTGCTTTGGGCATTTATTAAGAGAGCCAACAAAGACCTCTGTTTCTGTCTCATCCTCATCAGAGCTTTGCTCCCTAGCCACATATGCATGGATGTGTTTTGCTTTTGTATTTCTTTGGCATTTGTACTGAGAGCAACACACTTTGTCAAAATCGTTGCTTTCATTGCATGCAAGGCACAGCACCCTTGGTACTGGGTGTCTTTGCATTGTGCTGTAATTGTCTCTATGTACAGCCAACAAATCTGGCCTCTGCCTTTTATTTACCTTTGTCCTGTCTTGCTTACCAAGGTGCTTGCTAATGCTTTTATCTGGGAAGCGCCGTTTTCACTAGCCCGCCAAATATTCACTATACTTTGTGATGTCAACGCCATTTCTCCCAATAACCTTCCTCTGACCTGGTCATCAGCTACATACTGCAGATAATTTGGTCTCTCCTTAGACCATCTTCTAACTGTTCAAAATCACATGACTTAGCTTTGGTACGTAGATCTCTAACTGCAGTCAATGGTGTCTCTGGCAGCTGGATTCTTGCCAAGAAAATGTGCTTTTCCCAAGTGTTATTCTGACATCATAGGATCCTTGACAGTTTTGAATGACTTTGCCTGCTAGTTTGCAATTCCCTTCACCCTAGCACTGGGCTGCATCGTAGCCCTCCAAAGCCTCCAGGCCTGGATTTCACCCTCTGCAACCCTGAGAAAGTCAAGGGGCATAATATCCTCCATTTTTGCAAACACCACGTAATAAAAGTGTGATGCCCAGGGGAGCCTCTAAGAAATAGCTGCTTTAGTTCCTGATACAGGTTAGGGTTATGAAAGATTAACACCATCACAAAATTGATTCTAGTGGCAAAACCGCACAAGCTTTTACCTAACAGATACACTTACAATATAACAATAATGACAGCTCATCAGGAAGAGGTTTCAAATATGCTCATTGCAAACAGCATCAAGGCAACTTTCAACCAATGCTAACAGTCCCCAAGGCTATTCTGGTGCCCTTCCTTCAGACTTAAACTCTGTTTTTCATGCTCACTGCATCTAAATGCAGAAATGCAGACCAAGTCCAAAGGGGGGGAAATGGCAATATTTCTTACAGGAAGAAGAAAAGCAGAATGAATTACTGCCATCTAGTGGCTGCAAAGGACATTTCCTCCTTTGGATGAACATGGTACTGAGACAGGGTAGAAGGAACAAAACGCTCCACCATGTAAAACTCCATTGCTGACTATGAGAATAATGATCAAGCCTTTACAATTCTGTTAATGGGATATGGTCTTAATGCTTCTAGTCTATGCATCTGTAATTATATGACTGTCTGACATGAGCAACAGAGCATGATTTCTAGTGCAGTCATCATGGGAGTCAATGGTGAAATTCAAACATTCTGAACGTTCACACCCGCTTTTGGCTACTTCCTGTCTATAGAACCTGAGTAAAGGCCCTGCAAGCAAAGTAACCTCTGGGCTACATAAATGTACAAACATACAGCCCTAGACAATGAAGTGTAATGTTATTTTCAATGAACTGGAGAGTGTGCATGTGTATATCATGGCCCTCTGAATCAGAACAGTTCAAAAGCATCTTAGGCCCTATATTGCTAATGGTGAGCCTCCTTTAGCTCATGTCATAGTGGCCTGTGTTTCTGAAATTCTTTCCCTGCTGCCCCTTGTGAAGCTGTGAATAATGACGGTGTGCAACCTACCAACAACTGCAGTGCTTAAGCTGCCACGGATTTGTCATTATATTTGGCATTCACACAGTACTTTATAAACATTAACTAATCAACCCTCACCACACTCCTGAGGGATGGGTTGCTATTTTCATCCCTGTATTATACATATGGCAACTGAGTCACAAAAGAGCACTTTTCAAAGAAGTTGATATCAAAGCCAAGAATAGATCCCAAGCATTCCTGGCTACTGGTGGTGTGCTCATACCATTAGATCAAATCTAACTGGATCACCAATGACAGATTATAAATGTGCTTCTTAGAATGTAGCTTGGGACTGTCTGAATTTAAAAAAAAAATACAGCATGTACTGAGGTGCAGTTGTTTTCTAATCCTCAATAATTAATTCCCCAATTAGGTTGGAGTGCAATGGCGTTAAGAACAACGCATTTGGTGTTTGTATTACAGCTTCTTTGAAGAAATGTTTTGCTGATCTCTCAAAGGCTATTTGATTGTTCCAAAACTTGTTCCTCCACATTTTGTCATAAAGGACATTGGCATGTTCAAAATTAATAGACTACATGGTAATTTCCTGCTGTAGGGATTGCCTTGGGCTCAGTTTGATGCTGAGCGGTCTCCTAGCTGAGATGCTGTCAGGCTACCTTTAGGGATGCAGGTCTAATTGAGCTGATCAAGCTGCTTTTGTCAATCCCAATACGTCAAAAAGCACATGGAGAAGTCCCAGGACTGAGAATGTGGTTACTGCATTTCGTATTTCTGATCTAAAACAAACCAGAAAGAAGTGGGAAGACTTTCCCTGAGCACCCATCTCCAGTATAATGGCAACACCAGAGAGCTCTGCCTTCCCTGGGATCCTTAGGAGGACAGCAGGGACCTAGCTCTGAGCAGAGTCAGCGCAGTCCTGGAGCAGTGGAAAACAGGTGAAAAGTAGCCCAGAATCCAGGTCACGTGTGTAAATCATGATCTCCTGCTAAGAGTTGCCTTCCCTGTTAATAATGCTTTTACTTAAGTGTCTATTGTTTGTTTGGTAACGTTCAGGACACAGAAGGCAGCACTGTCTTCCCCTTCCCCCCCAGCTTATCACCCAAAGAGAAAACACAGCACAATGTCCCTGAAAAAGACTGTCTTGGACCATTACTGGGGAAGGGAGTCACATTCCCATTATTTTAGTGGGTGGCAGCAATTCATGGGAAAAGCAAGCTCCGAGGAGAGATCTGACAGCAGAGAGGATAAGCTCCAAGTACAATAATGGAGGAAAGCTGGGCTTGTGCTTCAGGCACTGACAGAAACCTCAGATCTAAATTATCTTCCTGATTCTGCCACAGCCCCCCTGGGTGACCCTGGAGTGACGTCACACTCTCTGTGCCTCAGTTCCCCCTCTCTAACAAGGGGAAACAATCCTTCCCTACCACATCGGGTTTGTTTTGAAGGCAAATGCTTTAATGTTTGTGAGGCACTGCTGGGAGAAGGGAGTTCCAGACAGAAGGGGCAGCAAGGAAAAAGGCAAATGAGACAACTAGGGTCTAGGGAAGTTTTTCAAATGAGAATTGCAGCCTGCGCCTTGCCAGCAGTCCAAGGCTTTTCTTCAGCTTTGCTAGGATACTCAGCTCTTAAGTATTACAGAACACTCGATGAGAAAAACAAATGTGAGGCAGGTGCACATAATTAACCCCATTTTACAGCTCAGGAGACTCCAGCACAGTTCTGTTGTGTCACATAACCTTTCTGTGGCGGAGACAGTAACAGGGGGCGAGCATAGCACTTCCTAGCTCCCTCACTTGTGCTGTATCACACTTCTCGGCTGGAGTTTGTTTAGTAGCAGTGGGCTGTGCCTTGCAGGTGCTGAGGGATGCTCTGAAGAGAGTCACTGCAAGACACTGCTGCACTGGATTTATAGATTCCAAGGCCAAAAAGGACCATTGCTAACCCAGGCCAGAGCCCTGCCCCACAAGGATCCCTAGAGCAGATCTTTTAATAATAATAATTAAAAAAAAAAATCCAGTCTTGATGATTTAAAACTTGCCAGTGATGAAAAATCCACCACAACTCTCGGCAAATTATCCCTCCCTGCTAAAACTTTACACCCTCTTTCTAATCTGAATTTGTCTAGCTTCAGCTCGCAGCCCTGAAATCCCATTGTATTTCTTCCTGCTAGAGTGCAGAACCCTTCATCAAATTTTCATCCCCTAAGCAGCCACTTCTAAACTGTAACCAAGTCACCCCAGGCCCTTCGGTGGCCCCCAGAGCAGGAGAAAAGCTCGGGAGACCCTGCCACAGCAGGTCCAAGCGGCCCCAGCACGCAGCGCTTACAGAGCACTAAGCCCACCCCATCGGCCCCCAGC